CCGTCTCATTTCTCACCCAAGCAGCTGGAGGGGAGTCGTGGGCACGTTGTAGGATGTCTGGCCTTGGACTCCAGGTCGCGTCCCTCCACAGCAGGCTGAGTTCCTGGGAAGGCTCCAAGGCAGGGCAGCTATCTCCGCTCTCCCTTATCAAAGCGGAGTCATTTATATTTTACTGAGATTATTTTCCAACTCAACAGTTTAGCTTTAGTTTCAGTTATCCCATAGCCATCTGCTCCCCTTATGCCTGCGTGTAAGGCTAGTGGCTTTCTTTGTCTAAGTAGATTTGTCAATAGTTTATAATTTTTCTTGTCATGATCACAATATTTATTTTTCACATCAGACAGACTCTTCTGGAGACTTGGAAGAAAGATTTTGTGCGTGTATCACGTCTCTCTTTAACCTGAAATTTTTGTTTCTGGAAAATCTTTTTTAAAAAAAGAATTAAATAAAAATGAATGAACAAAACTTCCTAAACCAACACGTATTCCAGTTGTTTGCTGTTGGATACCCTAAATTCATATTCCACTTAAAGAACTATGTTAGATCAGGCTGGACTTAGAGCCAGTGGTCCAGAAAGTTTAGCCTCGCGCAGCAGAAATGGCCCAGCTTCCCTCTAACTTGAAACTCAAACCAGGCAAACTCAAATCCCACTCCCAGGAGATTTTTATTTCTATCTGTTTTCAATCTCTAGCTCTTAAAGTTCTTATCTTAAAGCTACTTATGTTCTGTGGTTCAAAACCCCTGGCCCCCTCCGAATTATTTTTGACCTTCTTGATAGCCAATCTCTTTCTTTCAACAGCAAAATTGATGCTCCTTGTTTATCATCAGATTATTTTGAGATTTTTTTTCTCCAGCAAAGAGCTTTGATATTCCAGGCCCACCCTAATGGCTGATGGGACCAAGCACCTGTCAGGTGTCTGATGGGGTGTCACGGGGCCCTTTGAGGAAGGTGAGGCTTGGTGGGAAGGCCAGTCCTGTCCATGGGGCCTGGAGCATGATAAAGTGCTCTCTCCTGACCTTGAAAGTGCCATTAGGCCAGCCACTGCTTCTGGTTTGTTCCACAACGTGTCCCTGGAACCCGTCTACTGCCTGGCCCACAGTGAGTGCTCAATAAATAAATGGATGAATGGCCTTGTTTTCTAACACACCAACACATGCAACAATATGAACAAAGACTCAAACGAGTATTGTAGATGAAATACAACATGACAGTGCTGTTCAGACCTGTCTGAGGAAAAGGATGAAGAAATCAGTAACTTCTTGTATTTATGTGCTTCATTGTTTCCAGAGCGCTTTGAGGCTCCTGTGAGATTCATATCAACAGCCCCATTCTAAGGAGGACAGAAGTCTCGCCTGGTTTTCATGAGGATTAAAGAAATCACGTAGGTAAAGCCCCTACCACAATGCCTGACGTGTCGTGGGAGATTTTAAAACAATTGATCATCTATGCTTTTCCTCTAGTGACATGATGGATTTGCACCTAGAAGTCAGGATTCCTGGCCTGTTACACTTCCTGCCATACCTCAGTGTTCCTCCCACTCTGTCCTCCGACTGTGATGGGAAAATCTTTAGGGCAGCAGGCAGGGCACCCTAAGCAGACTGGTGATGCTCCTCTGCCCGCTCCTTACAGGGGTGAGGGAGGAGGGCATTGTACCCCCGCGATTAAAGTGACCAATGCTAACTAGCTGGAAATCGAGCCCGGGAACCATGTAAAGGTGATGGACCAGACACCCACGATGATCACTACAAAGTCCTCATGCCGATTAACTGCTGACAGCTCTTTTACCAACCGTGACGCTCCCGGGGCCTGAGGACTGAAGTGGGAGCCCACGTATAACTAGACTACGCCTGCTCAGAGGGAAAGTGATTGCTCTTCAGATTTCTTTTCCCAATAATAAAGGCATCACTGCCTTGCTATCAGACACTATACTGATGACAAATGACAACACTTGTGTCCCCTGTGGCCGAGGGGACCTGAATCAATGCATCATTTTGAGAGGTAGCCCCGGTTTTTCATCTGGTCTGACCTTTCTCTGGATATTTGAGAAAGACTGAAACAATTTAAGTAGCATCTCATTTCCTGCGGCCTTCCTTCTAACGGCCGTGCTGCTTTCACCCTGTCTTCTCTGGGCTTTTTCTTAGTGCCATCTTCCTGACAATGTGACTGGCCCACCCTTTAGCCCTCCAGGTAGATGACATGGGCTCCATCCACACTGAATGGGTCACCTGGCTCCTCCACTCACTCACTGGCTGGCCTAGAACAAGACACTTAAGTCGCTGGGGTTTGGTTTCCTCGATTGTAAAATGGAAAAATAAACCCACTTCCCAGATCTTTGTCGAGGATCAAATGAGGTGACAAATATGAATTGTCTCTACACAGAATAGATAAGGACAGGTTCCCTTATGACTGTAAGAATAACAAGATCATTATACTTACTTCTCTGACCAGTTTTATCACTCCCTTTAATCTGGTTTCATTGACACTGCATTTGTCCTTCTACTTTCCAAATAGCTATAATGGTCTATTGATTTCCTGGAGACGTCACGTTTATGCAGAAATGCCTCACTATTGTCCTTGCCGTGCTGCATTCTACCAGTCACCCAGCTTTCCTTCATCCACCTCTGATCGAATGCTTGGTGCCCTCCCCTGCCTCACAACTGCTGGGGTCTCCACTCAACTGCTCTCCTCACCTCCACCCCCATGCTGGGGCTGCTCCCCTTACAGTCACTCAACACATGTTTATTGTTCTGGGGACTCTTCCAGGTGTTGGAGTTGAAGCAGTGATCAAAACCTGGTCCCTGCTCTCACGGAGGTAACATTCGCAGAGTAGGGTTGGGGAAGGAAGAGCAGGTTGTTAGTAGATGCATCTATTACATGTTGAGTGTTGGTAGAGTTACAAGAAAGAGCAGAGCAGGGTAAGGGGATTCTGTGATGTAGGTTTAGTTGGGACGGGCTCTCTGATGAGGGGCCATTTGTACAGAGTCCTGAAGGACATGTAGCAGGAGGCTTGCAGAGAATCTGGGAGAAAGTATTCCAGGGAGAAGGAACAGCAAGTACAAAGGCCCTGAGGCAGAGGAGGGCTAAAATCTCTCTGCCTAAGAGAGCTTTCCCTGACAGTCCAATTTAAATTATCTTCTTTCTTTCTCAGGGTGCACTATTCTTCATAGTGTTTATCTCCATTTATGCTTTATATATATTTGAATATATAACTTACTTGTTTAATTTAGTCTCCCCCTCTGGATTATAAACTCTATGAAGGCAGGCATCATATCTGTTGCTGTTTTCCCTGACTTGTATATCCAGAATTCACTCTCCTGTCTGATATGTAGTTATTGGATGAATGGATGCATTTACAATGGTCATCAGTGGCATCGTGCAGTAAATCACTCACAATGTTCCTTTTGCCTCATGTGAGAATTTTCTTTTAGAAATCAGTACATACCGGGGAGTCTCCCTTGAAGAGCCAGCATGCTCCTTTCTTTCAGCTAATGAGCACCAGTTGAGTATAATATATCCATTTCTGTTTTGTGTGCGAGGAATTTTACACTCAGAAGGACAATTCAGTTAAGATTTGGCATTGCGTGTTTACCTCTGTTTTTTCTTGATGATAAGATTGCACTTCAGTTCTTCTTTTGTTACTTGGATCCCTCTTTTGTGTAATTTAATTAAGGTGAATCAAAAAGTAGTGATATTTAGGTAGCGAAGTAGGAAGGAAGAATAGGAGGGAGAGGAGAGTGAGAGAGAAAAGAAAATATATTCCTTTTCATGAGATCACTTGTTGCCCAGAATGACACTGCTTTGCAAGTTGAGACTTGGCACATGGCTAACTCATGCTCTAAATGTAATGACAGCTGCCTGTGACCTGTGGTGGGTGTGGATCAGAACCCATGCTAAGTATTTACATAGACACTCTCATTTAATTCACTGCAATGCTACAGGGTAGATGTCACTAGCCCCACTTACAGATGGATAAATTAAGTCTCAAAGAGGTTAAATAACTTGCCTTAAAAGAGAAGAAAGTAGAAATGACTGCCTTCCAATGACTTGTACAGGGCTGTCAGAATAAAACCCAGATTGTTCCGATCCATCTCACCCTACTAGGAGACGTGAGCTCCTCCAAGAGTGCTCATTAACTCAATGACCCTGAGGCAGAGAGGGGTACTTCACAAACATCCTTTATCCCTTACTGCAACATCCCCTGAATGTAGATACATCCGATCATGTTTAAATTATTTTTATAAAAATAGCAAAAGAATGCATGACACCGATTGTAAACTGTCAAGTTGGGTGGTGAGAAGCCACTCAGATCTGCGCTGAGAAAGGCGATAATGAATTCAGTGTTGGCAATTCTGAGGAAACTATAAGAAAACACCTAGGTGTTCCAACTGATCCCAGAAGTGACACAGATCCTTCCTCGCCTTCACGGTGCGATGGCGTATTACTGGGCGCTCAGAACGCGGCTCAGGAATTTCGGGGCAATTCCTGGACTCCGAATTCCGGGACTGTGGGCCCAGGGGAGGGAGGCGGCCCCCACGCGCACACACTCACACATACACTCACTCACATACCGCATGCGGTCACAAAGCACAGACGGGCACACGCGCTCAGCACAGACACAGCAGAGAGCACCCACAAATACATACCTCACCCACCCACCCACTTCGCACCACAAACACCCAGGCGCACTCCACCTCACACACCTCGTCCACTCATGCACGCACACCACGCACAGGCGCACAGGAGAGCTCACGTTCATGTGCACACTCGCGCGCACACGCTCACACCCGGTGCACACACCCTTTTACGCAAGCACATTCTCTCATGCACATGCACACATCCGCGCGCACACGTTCATAACCCGCGCACACACACTTTTACGCACGCACACACCCTCGTGCCCTTGCACACACCCGCGCGCACACGCTCACACGGCCGAGCGGCGGCGAGGGGCGGGGCGGGAGCGGCCGCCGGTGCCCGGCAGGGTGCGGCCAGGAGAGGGCGCGACGCGGGGACGGCGGCTGGCGCCGGAGTTGTTCGCCCGAGCCCGGGCGGCGAGACGCTCGGAGGGAGCCCTGCCAGCTCCGGCTCGGGTCGGCTCGGCTCGGCTGGGCTGGGCTGGGCGGCCCGGAGGGAGCGCGCCCGGGGTTACGCCCGCGCCCGAGAGTGGCGCGCGGCGGGGAGGGCGCCATGGACCCCAAGGCGGGCGGCGGCGAGGAGGATGACTGTGTGGACTCGGGCGCCGAGACCGGAGGGTGAGTCGCGCCGGGCCAGGCCGTGGGCGGGGAGCGCTCCCCAAGTTGCGCGGCGGCTTCTCCCCAGTCCGGGACGTTTCTGGACCGCCTCGGCGGAGCCGGCGCCGCCGCGATGGGACGGAGCCATAGGGGCTGCCCCTCTTGCCGGTCCCCCGGGAGAGCTGGAGGGGCTGTGGCGTGCTCGCTCCCTCCTGGGCCGGCCCTGAGGGCAGAGCCGCGTGGTTCGTGGCTGCCCTGGGCAGGGCGGGCCCCACCCCGGGAGGAAGGAAAGTGGAGGGACTTAAGGTTCAGAGTAGCCCCCCACCCACAACCCACCCCACTCCCACTTGCCCTCCGTTATCACTGAGACGATGTGTAGTACCAGGCGAATGCAGTGTCCCCCTGAGACCATCGTTAGAGACGAGAGATGCTCTTGCACTTGCTTCGACCTTCCGCGAGGACTTTCTTCCTGCAGCTTCGGAGCCCCCTGGAGTCCGGGATGGGGGTTTGGGGATGAGCAGAAGAGGAAAAGGGGGTAGGACACCGGCGCCTAAAAGTCTTTCAGAAGTCGTCTAAGAGGATGACATTTTTCATTTTATGGCTTTATTGTGCTTGCCGAGATCTCCTCACTCCTCCAGTCCCCCACCGAACTTCCTCACCTCTGCGCACCTGTGCCAGGCGGAACCACCTGCCTTGGGTACGGGCGGGATGAAGATGGTGCTATGACCTAGCTCCGCTTATTTAAAGAAACGTCCTCTTTGCTTCAACGGACTCAAACAATTAGCCCAAACCTTTGGAGACCAATTAGCCCTCTTCCAACAACACCATTTTCCGGAATGTCTTTTAGGAGATGAATGTCCTTGTCAAGGCTTCCATCCAGCCCCTATCTCGAGAATTTCCCTGTGCAGAGTCAGCGCCACATCCAGGATGCGGCACCGACCCAGGAGGAAAGGGTGTCTTTTCCTAACAGGAGTAACCCTGGCGGAGGGCTGGAGCTGGCCGGACAACGGAGGCTCACTCCTGGAAGATTGACGAGGTTTAGACTAATCTCAGGGTTTGGCAACCCTGGGATGGCAGGAGGAGAGTCCAGGGCCAGAATGGACCCAGGGATCTGACCTGACGCCGGAGTGGCTCCCTATGCCGCTGGTTCTGCCTGTCCAACCCCACCCTCCCTTGCCACCTCCACCCACTCCCAGCCGAAATCTGGGACTTCACACCCTAAAGCATTTGCTCTGCAATGGGCTTTCCCTATTTGGGATCACCTAAACTTGTGATGCGTTCTGGCTCACTGCAGAACCCAGTCACATTCCCCTGGAGTAACCTGACTCCAAATACTGAACTCCCCTGCTTTTTCCCACACTCTGTATATGGGGCATTTATCAACTTTAATTGAACATCCTTGGCCTTTTTTTTTTTTTTCTTTTGCCTGCCTCTAGTTAGCTGGACTATGAATAGAAGAAACAAAGCAAAATTAACAGCTCATTTTCAGCTGGGTTAAAAAATCATCAACTGAGCCATTCGTTTTCAGTTTGCAGAGCTCACCTAAAACAGATATTTTTTCCAAGGGCTCTCTCTGGAGAAGTAGAGAGGAAGCCCTAACCCAGGAATATCACCCAGGATCCCAATGAACAGCATGACAGCTGCCAGGGCTCCTGGGAGGGGCTTGCTGAATATACTGACACCAGGGCTTCTGTTCTCTGCTTCTGTCACTAAAGTGTATAGTTGCAACAGGACAGAACTGTGTAAAGACTTCTTATTGCCCCAGTAGCATTGTTAAGCTAAAGATAAAGGTAAAATGGCGTGCATTAAATAAAATAGTTTCAATGTATGCTTATTAGTCCTGTATTTGCCACATAGTCACATATCTCTTGAAGTTTAGTCTAGTTAGCAAAAAGCTGTTCATAATTTCTCTGCTTCCCCAGGCCTCGCATCCTGTTACCCTCTCCAGCTTTCATAGAGCTACCTGTCGAGATTGCATACAAAGCATCACTACATGTTTGCTATTTGTTTTTTAAACGCAAATCTGATCATGTCTCTCTCCCTTCCAAACTTTTAGTGGCTCTGTCATCTATAAAGTGCAAAGAGTTTAGCGTGGCCTACAAGCCCCGATGTTACGGGGTCCCCCTCTCTCTCTGGCCTTGTTTCTTGGCAGGTCCACCCTTGCACTCTGCATCCAGCCATAGCCACAGGGTGTTTCTGATTCCTCGCCTTTGTCAAGCTGCCCTCTCGGCCAGCTATGCTTTTCTCCACCTGGCATGCCTGGTCACCAGGTGAAACTCTACTCTTCTTTTAAGACTCAGCTTAAGTGACACATCTGCTAAGGCAGGGATCCTTAATCTGGGGTCAACGAATTGCTTCAAGTTGTATGAAAAATGATGTGCTTTGTGAATTTTTATGAGAGAGACTTGTTTTTCATCAGATTCTCAAAGTAGCCACTGAGCCCCTCCAAACCAAGTTTGGGCAGGGTGTGAGAAGTTTCATATTCAACATGTTGTGTTTGAGGTGTTGGGAGACATCCAAGTAAAGATGGTGAGCCAGCAGTTAAGTATGTTTATCTAGAGAGGAGGTCAGAGAGGAGGTCTGCATGGTGACATCGCATTTGGGAACTGTCAGCCTAAAAATGGCAGTTGAAGCCCTAGGAGCAGATTAAATCAACTAAAGGCAATAGCAAACGCCTACCTAGCATTTACTCTATGCCAGGTACTGTCTAAGCCTTCACGTGTTTCATTAACTCATTTAATCCTTCAACAACTCTGTGAAGCAGGTACTACTTAAGACCAGCCTTGAGAAAGTACAACATTTAAAAGTCAGGTAAAGGAAGATGAGCAGATAAAGGAGCCTTATAAAAAGTAGGCATGGAATTAAAAAAGGAAGAATGTGATATCCTAGAAACCAAGGGAAGAAAGGAAAAAGAAGTCAACTGTGCTACTGAGAAACTCAGATGAGGAATGTGATGTGTCTTCTTTTTAAATGGAGATGATGAAGCGAAGATAGAGTAATATTTGACAGTGGAGCGGTAGAGGCAGAAGCCAGATCAGTGTGGCTCCAGGAGGGAGTGGAAGGTGAGGAAGAGGAAATAGCTAGAGCCCTTTGTCTGGAAAAGGGAGGGGTGAGGAGAGGCAGTAGCTGGAGGGGAGAGTGAGTGAGGGAAGAGTTTCCTAAACATAGACAAGAATTGGGCAATAAATGCTCAAAGGAAGGATTCTATAAAAAGGGAAAGGATAAAGATATAGGAGAAAAACTGATGATCTATAATGTCAGCTTTCTGAAAAGGTGGAGGTAGAGGGACATCAGACCACATGTGGATAGACTGGCTTTGGATAAGAGGAAGGACATCTCTCTTTTTACAACTAAAAGCAGAGAAGGGAATTGGGTTCCCCTTCCATGCAAATGAAGCCCCTCTCCCTGAGGAGAATGGAGATTTGGAATAGTTTTTTGGGACATTGAGTGAGAACCCCATTGAGTTTAGCGATGACGTGTACCTGAAGGTACCCGTCGACCTTGCTATTTGTTTTCCTGCAGCAGTGCTCAACTACCCAGGGGCAGGCAAAGAGACATAGTGGTTGGGATCATCAAGGTTTGGGGGAGAGGGATGGTTGCTAAGCTGGTGTGAACAAGACATAGGAGGAACAGATTTGGAGGTACTGTTTGAGCTGATTATCCATCCTTTCAGCAACATCATCAAAGAGATGGTTCCAAGAACCTCGTGGATCCCACTGCCAGTGGGCAGACTGTGCTGATCGCTTTGAAAGTTACAATCAAAAGAGCCAAGTGGCTGAGGCTCAACTCTGTGCCCACAGTTTTCTCCTCTGTAAAACGGGGATGACGATAATATTACCCACCTCATAGGGTAGTTGTGAGATTTAAATTAGTCTACACTTTTAAAGCCCCTAGAACGGTGGCTGGCATAAGTAACCCCTCAGTACATGATTATTTCTCAACATACTATTAATATTGTTATGAAGAACACTCCAAATGATAAACTTAGAGTTTTATATAATAAAAATGTATATTGTCAGGTGCACTCAAGACCACGTGTTCTTCATACTTGTCACAGTAGATGCTCTGATGCTTTTAAATGCCTTAAGCAATTTGATCATCATTCAGAACATCTGAGAGACGATAGGCCATGTTTCAGTATTATAATTTTACAGATGAGGAAACGGAGAGTCAGAGGACACTAATTAGTGGCCTAAATTGAAGCCTGGGTCTCCAGCACACTTCTCACATAGTGAAGTTGCCTCTTAAGGAGCCGTTTGATCTATAATTCTTGTTTTCTGCTCAGATATTTTCTTTTGCTTGAAATGCTACCTTTGCTGTCTGACCCACCTAATACAAGCCAAGACTAAAAGCAAATTAGTATTCTTCTGTGACGACTGATGTCATTTTGAAACTCCCATTCTCCAAATCCACTTGAAAGCAAACTTGTGCTTCTGTGTAGTTTTAGAAAAAACTGGCAAGTCAGCTATTGAGCATAGTAAATTATCTTAAGAAACAGAATCGCTTAACAGAGAGAAGGGCAGTATTGTTTACAAATACCCAAATAAAAGAATAAGTAAGACAAACGCTCTTTAAGGGGTTTTCATTAGGGATGTCTCCCAGATTGACTTCTAAGCCACTCTTTCAAATACAACCATACTTGATGGATTATTTTCATTAAAAAGTTTGACTGGCATTGGGCCCAGCCCGGTGGCGCAGTGGTTAAGTTCGCATGTTACACTTCAGTGGCCTGGGGTTCACAGGTTCGGATCCTGGGTGTGGACCTACACAACGCTCGTCAAGCCATGCTGTGGCAGGAGTCCCACATATAAAGTAGAGGAAGATGGGCATGGATGTTAGCTCAGGGCCAGTCTGCCTCAGAAAAAAGAGGAGGATTAGCTGCAGATGTTAGCTCAGGGCTAATCTTCCTTTGACTGGCATTAATGGACCTCCACTTCTATGTCAGCTGTCACTGATCTTTTGAAAACATAAGGTCGTACCATATCCTTTATCTTTGGGTGACCTCCAGCTGATACTTTACTGTGATGTAAGAGAAAACAAAAAAAATTCATGGATCTAGCATTTATAAACAGGTGGATGCGAAAGAACAGATAGAATAAATTTTAAAATGGGACAAGTTTAAAGAAGAGTTAACAGGGGAAATCTTGCGTAGAAGACAAGATGATCTATCAGGTACTTTATTATCTTTGTGTTCAGGTGGAGCTAGTTAGCTCTAAATTACCATGGCATCTAATTCAATGGACTGAGAGTTAACAGATGGGGTCCATGATGCATTGAGCTGATGTTGTACAGAATTGTCAAGATCAATATTACTGAAATGCCAGGATCAATTCTTATGCCAAGATTTTCCTGGAAAAGAGAATTTAGGAAGGTATCTGTTATATATATATATATATATATATATATATAAATTGACAAGTAGGCTGCTGACAGTCTAAACTATTTTATGTGCAGACCCCTTTATATATAATCCCTATATGTATAGTTGTAATTAAAATACAATCAAGGGACTGCATCTAACTTTCTGTTCCTTATTGGCACAGATACTAAATCAATGTACTATTTGAAAATGTGTCTATTATATGTGTCAGGTGTGTGAAAATGTATAATCCTTGCATTATTCTCATCCGTATCGTGTGTCCATAAGTTTTTCATCCTAAAATTCATGGATTCACCTTTCACGGTTCATTCTGGCAGAGATGAATGTCTTATGCAGAGCCAGCTGGGTAAATTCTTAGGGTGTGAGACCAATAAACAGGATTCCCAAGACAGATACCACACTGTGGTTCCTTCCTACCATAAAAAAGCTGAGAACTATGTACCCCTCCAGAGAATTGTAGTTCAATATCTGAAGTTGTTTGAACCTATTTATGCACAAAATTGTCTTAAACTTTACAAGTTGGCTTTCACTGGCAGTATTTCCAGTAAATAATCTTTTGAGGTTATTTGGAATGTATTTTAAGAGCTATAAAAGTGTTCATACGTCAACTCAGTCCCTAGTCCCCCCATGATAATTTTTCTGAGGAGGAGTAAATATTAAGCTGTATTTGTAAATATCTCATTGCCATGTGCTTTGCAAAAGTGAACAATTAGGAACAATAACGTAGCCAACAAAAGGGACGTGGTTGAATAAATTATAGTATATTACTTCATTTGAAATTATAATTACAGGAACTATGTAGCAACATTTTATGGATGGTGTTTAGTGAAAAGAGCAGTTTAAAATTGTATCTCTGTCATTATGGCAACTGTATACAAATTACATAAACACGATCAGGGGCTGGAGAGCAATGTGAGGTTTTAGGTGACTTTTCTTTCTGTTTTGATGGTAGACAGGGATGGAAGTTGGGGTGATGGATGAGACTGCAGAGCTGGGCAGAGGCCATCAGTCATGGAGAGAGGGGTTTATGTTGTACGCTGTCAAGCTTGCACTTCATCCAGAGAGCGACCTGATCAGATTTGTGCTTTGCAAAGATTGGCTGCTATAAGGGGAAGGAATTGGAGCAGGGCAAGGGTGACAATCAGGAGAGTGACCTGACCTGGGCAGTGCCTTTAGTCATGATAAATACAGAGGGATTCATGGCAGGGCCATTAGTTATGCTAGCACCTGTCCTTAAATACTACTGTTGCATTTTAAGATTCTTGCAATATGTTTCAAATGTAAATTTCATTCTACATACATATCCATCTGTATGCAGATCTTTAAAATGTATGCATATGTGAAACCCATCTGCCTTGGGAGTATTTGGAAAATCATAGTTGAAAATACTGACAAATTTTTAATAATAAAATAAATAGTACTGTTGCACATTCTTATTGAACGTTTTATCTGAATTGTTGTGAAATTTCTTTAGAGTCTGTCCATCTTAAGGTGGTCATATTGTAATGGAATTGTTTTGCCACTGCATTTACCACAGTGGATGTTTGTTGAGCATTCATTGCATTTATATATAGTTATATTTCTAAGTATTGTCCTAAACTTTATTTAAATCCTGCCTGGTTCCAGAAAAAATTTAATGCACCGATGATGGGGCTAAAAATCCTGAGTTTCAGAGTGTTACTGACCCTTCACTCTCCTCTCTTCCATTTCCCTTAGCCAGCATGTCACCATGCCGTAAACAGTCCATTCTACCTCCCAGCTCCTTCCTTGCCACTGCCCTGCACACCTAGGTCAAGCCCTTGTCATTCCTCACCTCCTGGTCTCCTTACAAATCGTATCACTTTAGCTTCCTAATCAACAATATAAAAAAAATTGGATTAGATCTAAGCGGATGCAGTTTGTCATATATAAAGGGATATGCAAATGTGAGTAGTTGTTATTTTTTCCAGTTTTAAAATTCATTGATTCTATGACTGCTAAAGTATTTCATTTGAAGAGAGAAAACCACATGCTGTTTTTCTTCCATTTTGCTCCTCTACCAATAAATCAGTGCATCACTTTGTGTGAGAAATGTAGGTTATTTTAGCTGATAAGAGGTGTGCTCTTCAGGATTTTCTCTTAAGGTTTTGTATACACTTTTTTAATGTGGTAAGAAACTCAATAGAGTGAAAATTGGATGATTCAAGAAAGGCAACATGAGACTAAGTAAATAAAAGGAGTGTATATCTGTAAAATTAAACGTGATTAACCACTTCATTTGCATAACTATGTCCCCTAACTACCACCTTGGCAGAATAGATCCCTACATGCCTGAGAGAGTAATTTCCTACAGAGAATGACTTTGGGACACTGGTGAGGAGAAAACCAGTAGCTTCTATGCCGAATACACTGCCAGAGAGGGGAGGCTTACCAGCCACACAAGTAGAGCAGAAACTTCGCAGAGATTCAGCAGGCAGAGCCTTGGCCGGATTCCCATCCTCACAGAGGCCCAGTGCCAGCAGCTGATTTTTCAGCATAGAAACTAATGGGTAATTTCACCCTGCCCCTAACCTTGCCTCTTCCCTTTCCCCATCACAGCCCACATCCTGTTACTCTAATATCCAGCAGGATTTCTTCTCCGAGGGAACTGAAATCTGTCAGACATCATTGTGCCTTTGTGTTTCCTGATGGTCAGCCAGACCTTGACCACGGAAACCCTCACAGCCAGGGTTCCCGCTCACTCTTGCCAGGGTCCACCAGTCCTCTGCTTGTGTCAGCAGAGAAACATTTCCCCATGGCATGGTGCTAACATTTGAAGGTACTCATTTGCAGTGCTTTCACCTTTTGGAGCATCATGAACCCCTCTGAGGATCTGTTGAAAACATTGAGCCTTCTCCCCAGGAAAAAAAGCTTCATTCAAAAGTTTGCTAGCAAATTTAGGTGGTTCAGGATCCACCTGGTCTCCCATCTCGGAGATTCACAGAACCCTTGTGAAGGACCCTTGATTTCTAAAGTGCCTTTGAAGTTTTGCTTTCAAATTCAGGCGCAACTTTACTTTGCACGAAACAATCCTGAGCGCTACAGTTTTTAATTTGTGGCATTTCTTTACCAGTTAAAAGCTACTTACCACTGGCCGTTTAAAACTCTAGCTTGAAAAAATCATTTGGATAAAAAAAAATAATGTCTAATCCTACTAATACTAAGGTTTTATGTTTCAGGTCTGACTACAGCCACATGTCCTCCACCAGCAGTAAGTATGGTTTAAATGTCCTTCAGCACTGTCTTCGCAGTCCCCTAGGTGTCAGCCCCATGTATGTACACAGAGAAGGCCATCTATGTAACCCCTGCTCTAATAGTACGAATCAACAAAGGTATCCTTGCCAAAGAAAGGGATACAGGATCCTCTAACTCTGGAAGTAGAAGCTTTTCCTTGAGAATTTGATTGTACGTTGATCTCAGGACTAGATATGCCATTACTTTCCCTGTGGAAACTCAGCTTGAAGGAACTAGCCCGTGCTTTATTAGCACGCATGCTCCTAAAACACCTCCTCTGAAGAATCTGATATAGCTCATTCATTCAACAAACATTTATTAAATAGCTGCGCCCACAGGCTAACAGCTCAGAGCACATTCATCGGATCCATGGTGGCCCCAATATGTTGGGCAAATTTCCTCCCTTGTATTTCTGTATCTGCAGGCAGCTGTCATAGACGATTATTACATATGCTAAAAAAATGATTGGGAATATGTTTATAAGCATACTCTAAGCATAGAAAAAGGTACCTGTATTAAATATTAAATCACAAGTAAATCTATTCATGGGAAATTAGGCCTTATATCTAGGAACAATTTACAGTCATTGAGATCACTACATAAATGACTAAAGCCATCCAGATTGATTAAACACTGTAAAATAACAAAAAGTGGTCTTACAGTAAACGCCCAGATTTTTTGAATCAGTAAGTACTAAATTGCTTTGTCCTCTCTATCCTGTTAAACTCTCAATTCTAAATAGTTCCCAAACGGAAAGACAGTTAATTAGATTATTCTATTTATTGATGTTCTGGCTTAGTTTTCCACTGCAATAAGAGACTGTGCAGAAAGCTGTATATCTGGAATTGTAATTTAGTGTCAAATTATATTTAGTGATTAGTATAACTGCACTGGGCTATTTCTGATCATTTCAGCCAACTGGAGACCCAACATTGCCCCTTAGTTATTAAGAACCATTAGTAATAATGAGAAGAATGCTCCAGTGGTCTGCGTGCACTCCCTGAAGCTTTTGCATTCCTAAAATCAGAGGCTGCTCTCTTGAACTCTCTCTCAGTGCCGCCGTTTTCATTCCACTCAGTTTTGCCCAGAGGCTGCATTTGTTTAAGAATGATTTTTATAAAATACTTGCCCGAAGCCTTTGCTCAATTTGTAGCCCTCAAATCAGTCCTCTGGGTCACAACAAAGCACCTCTCTTGTCAGAGAGACTGATAATTTGTTTTGGGATGTTTTCCTCTCCATTATTTTAATTGCACTCTCTGAGTTGGAATTTCTCTCAGTGCAACTGGGATCAATAGCCTTTTATTGCTCTTCCTTTTCTCTTTAAATATTTTGTGATTCCTGCCTCACTCTTAATTGTTGGGGCCTCTTGGAGAGTGAGGATGTGTATGTGTCTCATATTTCGGTTAGGAAATGCATTTGGCTACAAATAATAGAGAAAAAATAATGACTTAAAGAAGTAGGGTTTCTTTTTTTTCCTCTAACATTAAAAAAAAATAAAAAGTTCAGAGGGGGCAGTGCAGGTCTGGTGAGGAAGCTCCTTCAATCATTCTCTTACACCATCCTCAGCTTTTGGCTTCCATCCTCAGGGTTGCCTCAGGGTTACAAAGTAGCTGCCTCTGCCATAGCCATAACATCCTTGTTCTCGGCAGGAAGAAGCAGTGAGTGGATACTAATGGGCCCCTGGCTGTCTTTGCCTAGTATATTGCCTGGCCTGCCTTTCCTCCCAGCCAGGAGCATAAATCCTGGCCACACCCATACTCAGGAGAAGGCCCCTTAAGCAGACAGTGAAAGGTAACAGGGTGGACCCTTTCTGAAAAGAAACAAAATTTTTAAGTCTAGAGTCTTAAGTCTATCCTTTAAAACATAGTTTTGACAGTGCTGCAATAATAAAAAGTACTTTCCAAGTCATTATTAAAAATGGAGCTTCCCCGCAAATTAGATAACCACATTCCAAAGACTGAGTTTAGAGAAGTTAATAAGTTTACTATCAATCCTGAATGCTTCAGTTTCAGGGTCACTCTCCCTGTCACAGCCAACTTGGTGCCAGCACCTCCTGTGTGACCAGCAGGGCCCAGAGGACTGACAAGTCCTGGTTTCCACTTGTCGGTCCTGGGAGCAGCTCCTGCCTCTCATTGTCCTTCCACTGCCTTTCTCAGCCTCTCTACACAGAATGGCTTGTTTCTGAATGATTCCTGATTCCTGATTGGGATTTGAGGATGGGTTCTGACCATTCACTGTTAGGAAATGGATGTTTCTATGTCTGCGAGTGCTTCTTACCCAACGGTCACATAAAGCTCCTTTACGTGTTCGTTCCTGAGTTCACAGGGCCATAAAGGCTTCCTTGGGGCGAGCTAGGGTTTCATCTGTTTGTGCAAGTTGTTTTCATCGTGGCTGGAATTGTTAGGGAAACTTCCTCCAAGAACACTAGTCACCCTATTTCGTCATCATCTCTTCCCTTTGAATGCAGGGGCTGCCTCCTCCTGCCGCATGCCCCTGACGGCAGAAAGGTCGTCACCAAGAGAAAGCACAAGAGCAGTGGTGTGGGATTTGGGTGTCATAGGGCCTAGTCCTGCTTCCAGCATGAATTATCAGTGTGTGCTCTCAGGCAAGTCACTTACCTTCTCTGGGCCTCAGTTTCCTCCTCTGTAGAATGAGGTGGTTGGGCTGGATGGTCTCTGAGCACCTTTCCAGAAGCTCTGGGGTGTTAAGAGGTGAATGTCTTAGAAACTCCTCTAAAAAGAGAGAAGAAGGGAGGGAAGAAAGAAGGAAGAGAGAAAGGAAGGAGTGAAGAATCGAGGATTCTGTACCTTTTTTCTTTGTCCCAGAATGAGAGTCTGGAGAAAGGGCATCCTCTCTGGTGCCCTGTAGCATTAAACCTGAAGGGAGGGCTGTTCAGAATCGATCTGAGCTTTGGTACTGTGAGCTGCCTATAAATAAGTTGGTGGCGGTGGAGACATTGTGGTGAGGGGCAGCGGCTGCTTTTTATCCCCTTCCCCTCCAAGAAAGGGACAAGATATGGGGCAGGAGATGGCATATGGATTGCTGGGCATCCTGTTTTTCCTCAACCTCATGCGTCATGAAATTGCATTTCTGCTGACTGTGTCCAAGGTCACTTTCAACTCTGGGGGGAGTGGCTGAGGGTGCTTCTTTAACGGATGGTTTGGTTTTGAGTGGGTGAATTTTTTTCTAGTTGTGACTGGTCCATTTGCCTTTTTCAGATTGACAGGGCAGACTGGCTTTTCCTTGCTGCTTTCCACAAAGCTAAACACACTGTTAGCACTCAGGAGATCTCAGTAAATCATAATGCTTCCTAAGGAAGATGAATGTAATTTATACTCTCAGAATTTCAGGTTGTGTTTCCAGAAACCTGGTTAGGAGATCATCAAGCCACTATGTATAATTTGCATTCTTAAGTGCTTTAAATAAAAAGGGGAAATGTTATAAACAGGATAAAAGAAAAACAATAATTATACCAGGTGAAAAAAAATCAACTGTGCCATGTAATGCTAATGAAACTCCCATCAGGTATGATTGAATATATCCATTCAAATATAGATTATAATCATACTTGAGAGTTGCTCTTAGAAGATGCTGGGGCTTACAAATGATATTCTTAGGACAGTATAACATTTCTGGTGGAGCTGCAGCCCCAGGACATGCCAGGAGGGGCTGGTCAAAGAATTAACTAGTTCTCTCTATTTGAGGCTGTTCTCCAAGAGCCTCTCCTCTATTTGCCCTCTTAATTTGGGCCCTAAAACTGTTCCTTCTCAAAACTCAGGTATAGTCATTAACTCTTTCCCTGGCCCTTATGACCTGCCAGTGACAGCAGGAACGCCATCGTACTTTTCAAAGCACAAATGGTAAAAGATCAGTTTAATGATGCAGATGACCCTTGGCAAAGCCCTGAGGAATTCTCTGTGTTTGAAATTGTGGAGAAATGGCCATCAACAGTGTGTTCTCCTGATATGAGCCCAGGAGCACAAACAAAGCTATGCAAAAAGGCACACGACATGGGTGCGCGGGAGTCCCTGACTCTGTTTCACAGCCCACCCAGGCCTCAGGTTCCTGCCCTCCTGTTTTTTCCCCTAGCTTTCTTTTCCTAGCTTCCTGTTCTGTCCTTCCAGTGACTCAGGTAGCTTCCCCGCTTCCTGCCTACATTCTCCCTGCTGGCCCCGAGCGTCCACAGGCTGTAGGTTGGATGGAGTTCTGTCCCCTCAGCTTTCCTGGGGCTGCAATGTTGGTGACCTGCCCTTGAAGGCAGCCCTGATTAGGGCCACTGGTACTGTGGGACCCTGGACACACCCTTATCTTGAGAAGAAAGAATCAGGTGGATGGCAGGTGTTTTTCAAATAGGAGAGTTGGGGTGTCTTGGTTAATTGCAAGACACTGTAGCTGGTCTCGAGGCACCAACGGGGCTTGTCAATTCTGCCTCACTGCTCTGTCAAGGAGGACATTTCATCCTTCCTGAGGCTGCCTTTTCTCACAGACACTTCTTTCCACATAAATGCTGTCTTCTGCCTTTCATTTCTCAGCAGTTGCATCATTTCCTTGCAGTTTCAGGATACTGAAACATAATACGTTTTGACTTGGTCTTTGGCCACATCTGTGCCTCCCTTCAGCATGGAGGGAAAGATAAACTCATTGTGATTTAATTAATAAACAAATATAAGGAGCATTAAAGGCAACATGTTGAAAAGATATGATTGCGTACTATAGAACTCATCACTCGTGGGGAATATTTAAATATATGTGATCTGTGTCTCCATATCCAAGAGCTAAATTCAGACTTGGGATAATAAAATAATCATTATTTTCTTTCTGTTTTTGTTAGAGGAGATGATAACTCATGGACAGACTTTGTTCATTTTAGAGCCAGTTTTTATCACGTCTCCAAAAAGGGAGGATCATCATTTTGGAAGAGGTGGTAATAGCCAATTTAACTTTGATCCATTTGTAAATTTCATCATTTTCATCTTT